GGGGGGAGGGGTAGATGAGAAGCAGCAGCGGGTCAATGAAAAGGACGTCAGGAGTCTCAGCAGCGGCGCTTCAAACCGCCCCAGATCGCACCCAGATCGCGCCGATCAGCAAGCTGACTCACCACCTGCGCCGCCTCCATCGCCACGTCCGTCCCCGCGCCCAGCGCGATCCCCACGTCAGCCTCCGACAGCGCCGGGCTGTCGTTGATCCCATCCCCCACCATAGCAACCACCCTGGAGCTCGCCCCCGGCCGCCCCTCCGCCTTCCGCGCGGCGGCCCCGCCCCTCCCCGCCGCCGCCCGCGCCCCGTTTTCCCCGTCGATGGTAATGGCGACGGCGCCGCTGCCTCTGTCGCCGCCGTTTGGGGCGTAGGGGTGAGGGGCGGGGGCGGGGGCGGGAGCGCCGGCGCGGAGGCGCTGGATCCAGTCGCGTTTTGAAGCGGGGGTGGCGTGGGCGATGACGCGGGAGGGGGGGATGCCCACCCGGGCCGCGAGCGGGTCCGCGACGCGCTGGCTGTCGCCTGCGGTGTGTGTGTGTGTGTGTGCGCGCGCGTATACGCGTGTGTGAGGCGTGATATTGTTAGTTGGTAGATGAGGCGGCACCAAGCAGTTATGGGAGTGGGAGGTGAAGGTGTGTGTGTCGCGCGCGTTTGCGGGGGGCGTGAAACAGGGGGGGGCATCAAGTTCGCAAAGCGTAAGCAGATGCGTTTTGGGACGGGGCAGCCGCGGCGCTGCGCGCGGCCCCCCTCAGTTGCCGTGTGCAGCTGGGCTTTGTGTTGCGAACGTCATGTGGTGCGCAGGCCGGAGCCCAAAACTGCACCATGGCTGTAGAAACCCGACACCCCCTTTCTCAAGCCGACCAAAAACCGGATTGCCTCGGTAAACTGCCGGCAGCCAAAAAGCCGCCAACCGCCGCCATCCGCCACCAACCGCCCACCCGTGATCATCCAGCACTCCATCCCGCGCCTCCCCAGCTCCCGCACCACCGCCGGCGCCTCCGCCCGCAGATCATCACCGATCCCCACCACCGCCGCCGCGGCGCCCCCGACCGCCGCCACGACGGCCGTGCTGCCGGCCGCCTCGATCTGCGCGACCGCCCGCCCGACTTCCAGGGAGATCTCGACCCCGCACTCGGCCATCCACTCGAGATTCCCGATCACCACTGGCACGCCGCCGCCGCCGCTGTCACCGCTGTTTGATGCCGCCGCATCGTTCACCCGCTTGCAGCACGCCCGCTGCACGGCGATCACGCTGGTAGCCGCAGCGGCCGCGGCGGCTGCGGCCGAGACGGTGCATCGCAGGCCGCGTCCGGGGACGGCCTCAAAACCGGCGACGTCGGCGGACGAGGGGTCCGCGGAAATGCCCCAAACGTCGCGCGCGTGGGACACGACTGCGCGGGCGAGAGGGTGCTCGCTGCAGGCCTCTACTGCTGACATCAGCGAAAGCAACCCGCGCTGACGGGGCGTGAGGAGCGCCGCCGCGGCTGAAAGGGCGCCGCCGCCGGCGCCACTGCCACAGC